TCCTCTGTGCCGGACTGCCCCAAATGATCAATAAAGAGACAAGGGGGCAGGCTTCTTCATGGTGTGAGATGCAGCCTTTCGTGCTGCACAGTAATACAATACATCACTGAGCCCATTTCAATTAGGAGCATTGGAGCAACACTGAGGGCTCTCAGCACCCCCTTCTGCCACAACTGCCTTGACCAAGGGAGCGGTGCACCCTGGGCATTCAACCAGGATCGGCCCTGAGTGTTCAGTGTCATCATGCTGAAGTGAGATGCAAAGTCCTTCACGTTTTTAAGGATTTAAAGAGTAAACACCTCTATTGATTGCCTCTCTGCCACTAGAGGTTTGTTCTTTGATAAATGTAAACATTACTGTTTCTTAGAAATAGCATTGTTGACAGACAACAGGGACATGGTCTATGCGAGAAAACCACTCAATAAGATTAAATAGTTTTGGTGTTTAGAGTGTCCCTTTAAATGTACAGAGATTACAATTTTCAATGCATGCAAATAATGTTATCAACCTAATTTACAGGATGGAGAGGGAGCAGCCCTGAATATCAAAATACATAGCTGAGCTTTATGCAAAGCAAAAACATAAGAAATAAGTAAATATCCATAGCTTTTCATTAATATTTAATTAAATAAAATTTGTGTTTAATAGAAAACACTTAGAATATTCCCCTGACAGTGTACATAGAAAATGAAGATTCCTATTCATTATTGTTTAGCTGGATAAATATGTTACTCCCAACTGACTGAATGTGTATATATGAGTTTGTTGAAGTCAGTTTATCACACAAAGGCTTTATTAACCCCATTTTAGATGTTGTGTTTTAATTATTTCAAATTCAGGTATTGTTAGTTAAGGTTATTAATCTTGCCCTATTGGAAAGAAAAGTATACAATTGCTTAAGTCAATTCAAATAAAATGTTTACTTTTTAAAGCAGTAGATTGTATACTTTGCAATATGAGCCTTTGTTTTGGTATATGTTTTTTGAAGGAGGTCTATGTATATGTTTAATTTGTGGCTAACGAGGATATCACTTCCATTATATCAAGTGTAAAACATAGATAATATGGTTACGAAATATGGACATACTGTGTTAGTTAAACACGAATCTTAGTACATCCCAACCTCCTTTTAAAATAAGAGATTGCTGTATTGCCCAGATAACTGACTGAACTCCTTCAAGAAGATCTTGTCTAATTTTACATGCTTCTGGGTAGTGAAAGAAGTAGAATATTAAAAATACTCTGTAAATCCTGAATCTGCAATGATACATTCTATGGTACCCAGCTCAGAACCTTTGGGAACTCTCTAAGGTAACATTTCAGAAGTAGTTCTCAAATTACTAGCCTCCAAATAAAAACAAACTCTTAATTAATTCAGAAAACACCCCTCTCCCAAAACCTTGACAGAGAATACTTGCCAGTACACCACCTCCAATAGTGTCAGGAGATACTGTAACATTATCTGTTTCAGCAATGGTTCTATACAGCCTCCCCATCAGTTGGACCTCCAATGATGTGGCGTATTACTTGATGCATCATAGACACAAGCACACTTACATCATTCTTAAAAGCAAATAACATATACTTGGGAAGAGGCCTATATAAATTTGAGGATCTCTACCCTATTGCACTTGTCTGGTTCTGGGTCTATTGCTCTGTTCAATATGATTTTAAGGCTTTTATGTGACTTAGCTTTTAACCTTCACCATTCTATTTTTGTTGCATACATTTTTTCATTTTATTCAACAATTCTCTATTCTTTACTTTAAATTTGATCATTAATTTTTGTTGTTTCCTAATTTATCTTATTGGCTTGGCAATAGCTACATTTTGCCACTTTTTTATAATGCGGTTTAACTTTTCTGACATAAACCTAATTTTAATATTTTTGAATAAGCTTTTTGAATGCCTTAATATTTTTTGTATACAATTTTTACATTATTTTCTCAAAAAAATGAAAATCTAAAAAAAAGTAGTACATAGAAATCAACATATCAAATAATATAAACATATTATATACATATAAATAGATCTGAAGAAGCTGATAATTCGGCGAAACGCGTCATCTGACTAGGGGTAGATGTCATCATGCAAACTCCACCTCCCGGAAGTATCCAGATCGAGAGTACAGCCAGCCATGGAACGTGTACAACACAAAACACAGGAAAACCGGTTGTTACACTTATTCCAGGATGGACTGTTACCATAAAGGATCCTGTGATAATTTTACCTACAGCAGTGTGTTTTAAGTGTTATATTATAAATAAATATGGTGTTTCCCTATCTACATTGGCTACAGTGGAAGTCTGTGCTTTGGGCCATTACAGTTAGAACAGACTTTTCTGCTCTACGTTTGTGAGTTTATTTCCAATTTCATTTTGGTTATTTTTATCTTACAATATTATACTATGTGCTATTTTGTTTCCTTTTTATGTTCCTAATTTGGAGCTATATTTTACCTCATCGATGTCTTTAATGTAAGTTGTTACTAAATATATGCACTTAATCACTTTGAGTGTTTGTTGCCTTTTAGATTGCACTTTTATATATAAAGATTTTGCACATATATGCTGATTGTCAGCATACACTTTGTCACTTTGTGTGAGTGGGGTTGCATTTTGCACTTTTGTACTGTATATGTTGTGCTGCAAAATGACAGCCTATCTTTTGAATATGCACTTTAATTCATAATATATAGCGCACTCTTTTTATCTGTTTTTATTGTATTTGGGGTGTTTTGGCCTAACACATGGTATAGGTTCTGCTTTATTTCTAAAATGTTTTTGTTCATTGTTTTATGTATTGATCTAATTTTAAGCACCATTCTTTCACCTGTTTATTTTATTTCTATTTCATAATATCAAAACAGCACTCCATGCAAAAAGTACAATGTATACCAAAATCACATGTACTCATACAAACAGAAAAAAAATACAGCAATGTAAGTCACAATGATACATTCAAGGAAAACTACCCAACATTAAAATACATACCATAAAAAAGGAAAGAAAGCAACAGAATTAGTGAGAAGAGGGAGATAGTCAGAATTGCCCCCAACGTTTCGGCAAAATTGCCTTTATCAAGGGAGCAAAGAGCAATTTTGCCAAAACGTTGGGGGCAATTCTGACGATCACCCTCTTCTCACTACTTCTGTTGCGTTCTTTCCTTTTTTATGGTATGTATTTTCATGTTGGGTAGTTTTGCTTGAATGTATCATTCTAACTTTATACCATGAATAGCATTGCAGTGTTTTTTTTCTGTTTGTATGAATACACATAATTTTTGTATACTTTGTACTTTTTGTATGGAGTGCTGTTTTGATATTATTGCTAATGTTTTTGGTACGATCTTTTGATACCTGACATATTGGACCCAATTAATAAAGTGATTTCTTATTTTTATGGTTGTGCTCCTCATTTAATACTATTGATTTAAATTACTCACCTGATTAAAATGGCAGTCTTAGTTCAGTGTAATAGTTGTTATGCATTTGTTTCATGTTCTACCTTTTGGAGATTTGAATGCTGTCCCATCTGTAGACAGTTCTCTATATTGCAGCAGGAGATTGTATTTTGGAAGTCTGAGATTTGTAAATTATCTGTTAAATAAACTCAGGCTGAGACTGTTGCAAAGCCACTGCCAAAGAGATGACCTAGGAATGGTAGATTGATTACTGTAGGATCTGGTAGACTTAGAGTAGTGGATAAAAAGCATATTGCACAGTCTGTGTGGCTCTACATATTGCACAGTCTGTGATTTTCATCACTTTTGGAGTGTAGTGGTGTTATGGAGACAGGCTCATGCACCGAGTGTAGTGGTGTTATGAAGACAAGCTCGGGCACCGAGTATAGTGGTGCTGTGGAGACAGGCTCAGGCACTGTGTAGTCATGTTGTGGAGAGAGGCTCAGGCCCCGACTGTAGTGGTGTTGTGGAGACCGGCTCAGGCACCAAGTTTGTGTAACCACCCAATGACAAAAAGGAGAAGGTGAGGACTGATAGAAAGCAGTTGTTGTTGGGAGAATCTATCATAAGAGGTGTGGAGCTGGACAATAGTGGCCTTGTAAGATGTCTTAATGTTTAATATAAGAGCAGTGACTGAGTCATACCACACAAAAACAAAAGTTTTGGACTTTAGAAAAACGGACTTTTCTAAAATTAGTATGTGTGTAATAGAGTCGTTATGAGACTGGAACAGTTTAAAGAGAAATGGGATTATTTAAAAGTTGCACTACTGAAGGCAACAGAAAATTGCATTAGGCTTGTCAGTAAGAGCAAAAAATTAAAGAAACCACTGTGGTACTCTGCAGAAGTGACCAAAATAGTAAAAAAAAAATGTTAGCATTTAGTAATTATAAAAATAAAAAAAAACAGCGTGAGGAAGATAGACAGATCTATAAGATTAGGCAGAAAGAGGCTAAGCAAGTTATAAGAGCTTTCAAATCACACACAAAAGAGAAAATAGCACAGTCAGTAAAAAATGGGGACACAACATTTTTTAGATACATAAATGAGAAAAGGAGACTCCGACTGACATGGTGGCATAACCAGAGAGCTCTGCTCCTCCAAGCCATGATTTAGCACCAAATACACTCATACCTATCTCCAGAGAGTCCAAATGGGGAGAACAAAGTGCACAGACCTACCACAGACCCCCCAGGAGCACACACACACCCCGGATCGGACCTATGGATGAGTTCCTTTGGATCCTGGCTTGGACCTACCACAGAGTTTCTGATATGGCTTCCTCTCCGCTGGCCTCCCCTGTGGGTTCCGGCCATGCAACACAAGACAGCATATCTGCAGAATTAAGGGCCTTGGCTACTAAATCAGACCTCCAGATACTCACCTCCAAGCTCCATGACACCATCAAGACAGAACTAACCGGGATCCACACAGAGTGAGCAGCACATGGCACCTGCATACAGGATTTGGAGCACACTTCACAAGGACTTGAGGCACGAGCCATGGTCACAAATCAAGCAGTGTCCCGGCAAAGTACCATGCTGTTAGAAATGCGGCGCCAGATGGAGGACCTCGACAAACATGGCCGTAGGTGCAACATCCGGGTGCGGGGAGTCCCGGAGCTTGAGGGGGAGAAAGACATGGAAAGGCTTCTTACCCGCCTCTTCTGCTCCATCCTCCAAGAAGATACACTGAATACCATGGAGTTAATCAGAGCTCAGCTGCTCCCCAGATTGGAAAATGCAGCTCCCAGAGATCTGATCTGCTGCCTGGGCTCATATAAGCTTAAAGACAACATAATGCGCAAGGCCTGCAGCAGGCAGACCTGTGAGTTCCAGGGCGCACAGGTTGCCTTGATCAACAACCTTTCCTCACTTACCCTGGAAGCTAAGTGGGCACTCCAACCGGTAACCATCGTCCTACAAGAAAGAAGAATACCCTACAGATGGGGCTTTCCCCCATGCACGTTCCATGGCCGGAAGAAGTGCCGGCACTAATGCAGCGACTAAAGCTCCTGCCTTTGGCCGTCCCCAACTGGGTCCTGAGTCCTAAACCAGAGGCCCCCATCTACAGAGAACACCATGCCTCAGAAGGGAGGACTCTCTAGCAGGCCCCCCCGCCATGATGGCACCAGACCCAGGACGACCCCAAAGCGGAGGGGGCACTCAGCCGCACAAGGTTCCAGACATCTCCTAAGGTACTTGGGTCCGCATCCTGAACTGGAGGCATTAGAGAAGCACTCTAGTGGGAAGGAGGAAGAGTGCAATACCCCCCTCCTTAGGGGTTAATGTCCATCCATATTAATGCCGAACGGCACTGATGGGTCACGGGATGCGGGATTCCAGAGTGCCCCAAAGGGAACCTACTCGACCCCTCAGGCTCAATTTACAACCATCCCTCACCTATTCTGGAGCCCAGTATTCTAAAGGTCGGTCAGGAAACGGGCCCGGAGGGGTAGGAAAAAGAAAGTTGGCATGGCACGGGTCTCAACCCTTTCCCCCCTATTTTTGCTGCATCAGGGTTGTTGGTCCCTTTCCCCACAAGATCTGATACCCACAAGCCCATGGTTACCACAACCTTAGCCGCTGATGTTGCTCCATACCCAAGGGCCAGGAGTAAATGAACGACAAGGGGTAACACTACACGGCACAGGGAGGGGCAGCCTTCAATAGAACTAAGCCTACCCGCATGGACACAACACGCACCCCCGGTACCCTGCCAAATCCCCCACATTCCCTAAGAGACAGATAAGCTACATGTATTATTAGCCCCCCAGGTCATATTACCTCCAAAACAAAAGTAAAAATGTGTTGATGGCATTTGTGCACGTATGGAATGGTTGAACTGGCTGGAGACCTGCGTACTTGCCGTATGGGTGGCACGTAGTGGGCTCAGGATAGATGGTGGAACATAGGCCTGGAGCATGGGCTGTGGGGGTTGAGGACGGCGGGGGTTGGAGGAGTGGAGTAGCTGACCAGTGGCCGGAGTGTGGACATGAAGCCCGAGCTGCAGAGAAGGGAAGTGGGAGAAGGTTATGTACGCTCAAAGAGACGGGGGGACAGGGGAAATACACAATAAGGCGGCATAGCGATAGGGGAAGGGGGGGCCTAGGACACTAACAGAGAGGGTAGGGGGACAGATACACTACATGACAATGAGAGGGGTGAGCAGGGGTAGGAGGTAAGATGCCCACACACAAAGTTATAAACAAACATTCTACATAGGGGGACATAGTTACGCAACATGATACAATAGGTTCTGACCACCGAACATCACGAGGGGACGATATCTTATACACTGATTCACTGAAGATCCCTGAGTGGACCAAGGCAGAAGGTGTCAAGAACCGCAGGAACCTAGATGACTAGTAATGGGCCAATGGGGGGGTCGGTGGTGGACCCCAACTTTTTATACATCAAAGATAGCCTATCATAGAGATGCAGTGTCAATGCTTAAGCAGTAGTCTGGGAAATAGGGTCTGTAAACAACTAATTTAGTGTATTTGTACATATGTTCAGCTTTGTTTTAAATGGTGGGCTTCTGGAGGAGCATCTTCAAACCACGTGACTCCCTTACTAACTCTTAACCGAAGTTACTGTGACCTGACGGTGGTAATTGTGCCACATTCTCCACACTCGCTCGTGTATCTATAACGGGTGGTGGGGTACTGATTGCCCTACCTGGTGGACGATTTGTCAGAGGCGGGCACCAATAAACTTCACCGCCACACGAGTAATCCCCTGTAAACACTGCCCATGCAGGGAGACACCTACTCCCTCTCTTCTTTCCTCTTCTTTCACTCACACACTTTCTCACCTCATACCCTTTTCCCCTAACCGAGCTTTCCCGGTCGCCCCACCACCTGCTGACAGAGTGCTGCCTTTGGGAGACCCACATATCACACACCACCACCCCCCCCCCAAAAAATATTTTACACACATATAGCCACTGCTATAGACCCACAAACCCTGCCCCAGAGAGCCTCCTAGGTGGCAACACTAGCTCAGGTGGATGGCATTTCAGCCGGCCCCTTTCAAAGTCCTCACCCTTAACTGCAGGAGACTAAACGTCCTGGAACGCAGAACGCATGTGCTGCATGAACTCAGAACCAGAGGGACATTCATATCCTTTCTGCAAGAGACCCACTTCTTCAAGAACTCAGCCCCAAAGCTTCAAAATAGATTTTATCCCATCAGCCACTTCAGCAACAATTTGACTGCCAAGAAAGCTGAGGTCACTATACTCCTGGCCGCCACTCTACTGTTTCAGGAACTGGACCGAGACCCAGAGGGTAGATACCTATTTGTCAAAGGGAAGGTGGCGGATACATGGCTTACCCTGGCAGTCATATACGCCCCCAATCATGGCCAATCAAACTTCCTATGTAAGACGCTGTCCAAACCGAAGAGATTCACTGAAGTCTCCCTGATCGTAGAGAGGGACTTCAATACTCCTTTAGACCATCAAATGGACTCCTCCACAGGAGCAATTTGCACTGCAGATTGCTGGAGAGCCTGCCACTCTACGGATGGAGACTATACACATTACTCGGTGGTACACGACCGATATGCGTGGATAGACTACTTATTCATGCAACAGGAACATCTCACATGGCTGATCTTGGTGGAAATAGCTGCGTCCACCTGGTCGGATCACAGTCCAGTCTTAATTATAGTGGAATCTCCCCTATCAAAGCTGACGGAATGGACCTGGTGGTTAAATAAATCCCTCCTACTGGACCCAGCTGTCAAAGAACAAGTGGCAAGAGAGCTAAACCTATACTTCGAAGAGAACAATACCAACGGCATGTCTCCACTCACACTATGTGAGGCACACATTTCCACCCACCTACATAGGATATTTCCAGAGGTATCCCCTATGTGCTGGAGGTGCAGCCCGATGGAAGGAATTACAACTTTACATTGTAATCTTCTTTATAATCTTCATTATATCGCCACAACCTCATTTTCTGAGCCTGCGAGCTCTGACCACACCCTTCTTCCATGTAATCACAAAAATGCTTAATAAAATCTGATTTAAAAAATAAATAAATGAGAAAAGGAAAGTAAAACAAGGATTAGTTAGATTAAAAACAAAAGGAGGTAGGTATGTAGAAGATGATAAAGGTCTAGCTTACTGCCTCAATGAATATTTGTGTTCAGTATTTACAGATGAAAATGAAGTAATGGGACCTCAGTTAGGAAAAAGGACAAATTAGTCATTTGTTACATGTGAGTTTAAAGAAAAAGAGGTTCTATTTCAACTGTCAAAAGTAAAGACAATAAGCCTGATGGAATACACCCAAAGTTATTAAAAGAGTTTTGTGGTGTACTAACCAATCATTGTTAACAAGAGTAATCCCAGAATATTGGAAATTAGCAAATGTTGTGCTCATTCACAAGAAAGGTAGTAGGTAAGTGTCGGGCAATTATAGGCCAGTAAGCCTTACTTCTGCAGTGGGGAAAGTAATGGAAACCATGTTAAAAGACGGACCTGTTGAACATCTAATATCACATGGATTTCAAGATCAGAGACAACATGGGTTTACTTCAGGGAGGCCATGCCAAACTAATCTTATTGATTTTTTGATTGGGTAACTAAAATAATAGATCAGGGTGATGCAGTAGACATTGCTTACCTAGATTTCAGTAAGGCTTTTGACACTATCGCACACAGAAGACTTACTAATAAACTGCAATCTTTACGTTTGGATACCAATATTGTTAAATGGGTTAGGCAGCGGCTGAGTGACATGCAACAGATGGTTGTAGTGAATGGAGTATATCCAAAGCATGGTCTTGTCACCAGTGGGGTACCTCAGGGATCTGTACTTGGACCCATTCTCTTTAATATTTTTATTAGTGATATTGCAGAAGGTCTTGATGGTAAGGTATGTCTTTTTGCTGATGACAGAAAAATATGAAACAGGGTTGATATTCCAGGAGGGATAAGCCAAATGGCAAATGATTTAGGTAAACTAGAAAAATGGTCGGAGCTGTGGCAACTGACATTTAATGTGGACAAAGTGCAAGATAATGCATCTTGGATGTAAAAATCCAAGGGTCCTAACCACAACATTTGAGGAAAGGGATTTAGGGGTAATAATTTCAGATGACTTAACGCTAGGCAGACGGTGTAATAGAGCAGCGGGAAATGTTAGCAGAATGCTTGGTTGTATAGGGAGAGGTATTAGCAGTAGAAAGAGATAAGTGTTCATGTCAATGTACAAAACACTGGTGAGACCTTACTTGGAGTCTTATACACAGTACTGGAGACTTTATCTCCAGAAGGATATTGATACTTTGGAGAGAATTCAGAGAAGGGCTACTAAACTGGATTGCAGGATAAAATTTACAAGGAAAGGTTAAAGGATGTTAACATGTATAGCTTGGAGGAAAGACGAGACAGGGGGGATATGATATAAACATTTAAATACATAAAGGGGATCAACACAGTAAAGGAGGAGATTATATTTAAAAGAAGAAAAACTACCACAACAAGAGGACATAGTCTTAAATTAGAGGGGCAAAGGTTTAAAAATAATATCAGGAAGTATTACTTTACTGAGAGGGTAGGGGATGCATGGAATAGCATTCCAGCTAAAGTGGTAGATCTTAACACAGTGAAGGAGTTTAAGCATGCGTGGGATAAGCTAAAGGCTATCCTAGCTATAAAATAAGGCCATGAAGCTAATGATAGTATTTAGAAAATTTGCCAGACTAGATGGACCGAATTGTTTGCTCATGTATGAGTCAGAGTTCCTAGTACAGGATATATTTCACCAAATATAATATTGGTATCATGGTACCTTAGTCCCCTATGGTCCAATTAATATGATTAAGAGATTTAAATTTATACATAGAAAGCAAATATATATATATATATAAATATATATATATATATCCTTTATGAAAATCAAATAAATAAATGCTTAGAAACATTTTAATCCTTATGCATAATATTTTCCTGCCAATCAGACAATTATAAGTCATTATTA